ATGCTGAAGACAGCTCCATTTCTTTTCAATGGGAACAAAAATGGCAAAAAAGGCAAAAAAATATCAACATGTAAAATTGGCTGAAATACCAAAAGTCACAGCTGGAGCTGAAAGTTTTGTACATTAATAACTGAAATAACACAAAAATTGTGGAACAAAATACAAAAACGTAGAAAAGAAAAACAGATCCTCTCAGTAATGGGAAGTCAGAGTTGACTAAGATTAAACCAAAATGCAATAATTAGTTTTTTATTATGTCTATGTGGGGTGATATTTCACTACTTTAGGTCTCTACACAGAGTCCAAACAAGGGTTTTTTATTTGTTTTGGGGGGTGGGGGTTCAGTCACTTGGTATTCCTACCAGAGCAGATGTCAGTGAGTTCATCAATTTCTTCCTGAAGTCGGAGAAGCAGGAGGTCCTGCAGCATCTCCTGCTGCTGCTCCTCATCCTCCACCCCTAGAAGCTCCAGGTGATCCTGCTTCAGCCTCAGCAGAGCACGGCCTGAAAATGTTTTCAGGTTTTAAAACTGGCAAACTAAACTCAAATTAAAAATACCAGGGTTTGATAGAAACGAGCACATTTAGTCTAAAATCAGTTTCTAACAACACCACATCTGATSGTTCAGGAGGGAGTCTCCAAAGTGTCTCACATTGTTCTGTTTTATGTTGAACCACAGTAAAATCACTGGGTGAAATATACAAACCAGTTTAAAGAATAAGTGAATAAACCATGTGTTTTACCTGAAACATCATGCTCGATGATGGTTTTCTGCAGCCTGCTCATGTGTTCTGGGTGCTTCTCCTGAACCCATGTCAGGACTTGTTCCACGGACCACGACGACGTTCGCTGCGACAGACCCATCGCTCTGCAAGCACATCAACACAACCCAAACCCAGTTAGAGAGGACGTGGGACAACTGGACCGAGGACAGAGTGAGATGAAGGACGACGACATGTGGAGACCCCTGAACAGATGAAAGGAGGAGGATCTGACCTGGACTCRTATCTGATCATGGCTCTGCCACCTMTACAATCKTAAGAGTCACTTCTGCTGCATGGCTTAATGAGTCCAGAGCCACAAAACATGTTACAACTATGATCAACTGGTGGCCCACGGGCCATGTCGAGTCTTTGAAAGTCTGTCTCTGTAACACTGCGAGTAAATGGAGGAAGAAAAACAGTATCAGCTTTAAGAATCAGCCAAAACAATATAAATAAATTGGCAGCACATATTGGGGATTGGTCAGACTGATCAGATATGAYTCCTGATGCTAATTAGCCTTCATCGTTTGTATCGGTCGATACTCCAGGCCCCTTTTTGAAAGAGTGGTCCCAGAACTTTTTAAACCACCTCACTGACCTTTAATGGACTTGTCTTTAGACTCTGTCTCCTCAAAGGTGGGCATGGAGGGTGGGTTTCGTTGAGCGGTGTTCCCTCCACCGCTCAACAATAAAAACAGAAAACAGAGTAGTAATAAAGATGCTTTATGCATAACTTATCTCTAAGAGCTCTGGACTCACTGGAGACTTTTAAACAGCAGCTAAAAGCTCATTTATTAAGCTGGTTTTTAACATGGCTGCATGAGTTTTAATGTTGTTTTATTAATGCTTTAACTTTTCTCATTGTCTGCAGCATGTTATTCTGCTTTATTTTAAAGCKCTTTGTGGCTACTCAACTGTGAACTTATACAAATAAAGTTACTTGTGTATTGGCATTATTATTTATTCTGTACAGAAAATAATCCTTTTTATATATAATCTTACTGGAGCTGCACATACAGAAAGCAGCTTCCTGATGTTTTGCTTTAGGCGCTTTATTTAGAAYACATTTATGTCTGTAGTGCCTTTAAATGTAGGAAAAGGTTATTTTCCAACAACTTKCTGGACACAACACTGAATTATTGAGTTTTACTCCTCAACAGAAAAGTGAAAATCAACCAGCATTGACATGTAGAGGTCAAAAAAGTTCTTCTATGAGGTGCTGTTTTTAAAGTTACACAGTCAAAAATTACCACCAATATTTGTGTTTTATTTAGACTTTTATAAGAAAAAAAGAACAGATTTATTTTTCAAAGTCAGTTTTTCACCATATGATTCATTCATTTATAAATGTCATTGTTTATAAACTAAATATTTAAC